TGTCTATGTCTGAGAGTTATGCTGTGTGTGTGTCTATGTCTGAGAGTTATGCTTTGTGTGTGTATGTCTGAGAGTTATGCTGTGTGTGTGTCTATGTCTGAGAGTTATGCTGTATGTGTCTATGTCTGAGAGTTATGCTGTATGTGTCTATGTCTGAGAGTTATGCTGTGTGTGTGTCTATGTCTGAGAGTTATGCTGTGTGTGTGTCTATGTCTGAGAGTTATGCTGTGTGTGTGTGTCTATGTCTGAGAGTTATGCTGTGTGTCTGTGTCTGAGAGATACGCTGTGTGTGTGTCTGTGTCTGAGAGTTACGCTGTGTGTGTGTGTGTGTCTGAGAGATATGCTGTGTGTGTCTATGTCTGAGAGTTACGCTGTACTCATCTAGTTGTGCTTGCGGGGATTGAGCTCTGGCTCTTTGGTCGCGCCTCTCAACAGTCAATCAACTGATGTACAAGTTCCCGATCCTACTGGGCTCTATCGAATCTACATTTGAAACTGTGTACGGAGTCTGCCTCCACCACATCACTTCCTAATGCATTCCATTTATCGACTCATGTGACACTAAAAATAAAAATGTCTTATGTCTCTATGGCTCATTTGGGCACTCAATTTCCACTTGTGTTCTCCTGTGCGTGTACCCCTTGTGTTAAATTGTCTGTCTTTATCTACCCCTATTAATTTCTTTCAGAGTCATGTTCCCTCTAACTCTTCTGTCTTCCAACGAAGTGAGGTTTAATTCACGTAGTCTCTCCTCGTAACTCATACCCCCTCAGTTCGGGTGCTAGTCTGGTGGTGAACCTTTGAACCTTTCCCAGTTTAGTCGTATGCTTGACTATATATGGACTCCATGCTGGAGCTGCATACTCCAGGATTGGTCTGACATATGTGGTATATAAATTTCTGAATGATTCCTTACTCAAGTTTGTAAAGGCTGTTCTTATCTTTGCCAACCTGGCATATGCCGCTGATGTTATCCTCTTGATATAGTCTTTATGGGACAGTTCTGGGGGGGGGGCCCCCAGGCCCCCCCTCTCTCTCTCTCTCTCTCTCTCTCTCTCTCTCTCTCTCTCTCTCTCTCTCTCTCTCTCTCTCTCTCTCTCTCTCTCTCTCTCTCTCTCTCTCTCTCTCTCTCTCTCTCTCTCTCTCTCTCTCTCTCTCTCTCTCTCTCTCTCTCTCTCTCTCTCTCTCTCTCTCTCTCTCTCTCTCTCTCTCTCTCTCTCTCTCTCTCTCTCTCTCTCTCTCTTCTCTCTCTCTCTCTCTCTCTCTCTCTCTCTCTCTCTCTCTCTCTCTCTCTCTCTCTCTCTCTCTCTCTCTCTCTGTCTCTCTCTCTGTCTCTCTCTCTGTCTCTCTCTCTGTCTCTCTCTCTGTCTCTCTCTCTGTCTCTCTCTCTCTCTCTCTCTCTCTCTCTCTCTCTCTCTCTCTCAACCATTTGTTGAACCATTCCATCAGTTTTTCCAGGTCTTCTTGAAGCCTCAAGCTGTCCTCCTCTGTCTTAATCCTTCTCATAATTTTGGCATCGTCAGCACACATTGAGAGGAATGAGTCTACACCCTCCGGGAGATCATTTACGTATATCAGAAACAGGATAGGGTCCGAGTACAGAGCCCTGTGGGACTCTACTGGTGACTTCACGTCAGTCTGAGGTTTCACCTCTCACTGTAACTCTCTTCTTCTTATTGCTTAGGTACTCCATTATCCACTGGAGCACCCTACCAGTTACTCCTGCCTTGTTTCTCTAGCTTATGCACCAGCCTCTTATGGGGGTACTGTGACAAAGGCTTTCCCACAGTCCAAGGAAATGCAGTCAGCCCATCCTTCTCTTTCTTGCTTAATCTTTCTCACCTGTTCGCAGAATTCTATTAAGCCAGTGAGGCAAGATTTACCCTCCCCGAAACCATGTTGGTGGTTTGTCACGAAGTCCCTTCTCTCTCCAAATGTGTTACTAGGTTTTTCTCATGATCTTCTCCATCACCTTGCATGGTTTACAAGTTAAGGACACTGGCCTGTAGTTCAGTGCCTCTTGTCTGTCACCCTTTTTGTATATTGGGACTACATTAGCCGTCTTCCATATTTCTGGTAAGAATTCCGTCTCCAGTGACCTTCTATACACTATAGAGAGTGGCAAGCAAAGTGCTTCTGCACGCTCTATCAATACCCATGGTGAGATTCCTTTCCGGAATCGACCTTCTCCTGGAACCTCTTGTTGAGTTCTTCACACACCTCTTTGTTATTCTCTGTGTACTTGTCCTCACCTGTTCTAAGTTTCCTTCCCCTGTTCTTTCACTGTTGTTTTCCTCCTGATGTGACTGTGGAGTAGCTTTGGTTCGTCTTGCTTTATTTGCTATATCATTTTCATACTTTTTCTGCTTCTCATTTCACTCTAACATCTCATTCCTGGTTCTCTGATATCTCTTTGCTTTCTGGTGTTCTGTTATTTCGGAACTTCCTCCACGCTCTTTTATTCAGTTCCTTTTCTTTCATGCATGCCCTATTAAACCACGGATTCTCCGTTTGCTTCTCGCTTTTTTTTCCTTTTGGACCGGAATAAACCTATTTACTGCCTTCCGACACTTTTGGGTGGCATTGTCCATCAAGTCTTGTACGGATTTAGTTCTGAGTTCTGTGTCTCATGGTATATCCTTTAGGAATTTTCTCATATCCTCATAATTTCCCATTCGTTACACCAGAGTTAGGGAGCCGGTCGGCCGAGCGGACAGCACGCTGGTCTTGTGATCCTGTGGTCCTGGGTTCGATCCCAGGCGCCGGCGAGAAACAATGGGCAGAGTTTCTTTCACCCTATGCCCCTGTTACCTAGCAGTAAATAGGTACCTGGGTGTTAGTCAGCTGTCACGGGCTGCTTCCTGGGGGTGGAGGCCTGGTCGAGGACAGGGCCGCGGAGACACTAAAAAAAGCCCCGAAATCATCTCAAGATAAGAAGATATAGCCCTTTGTTTTCTAGTTCTCTTTTGGGGAAGATAAATCCTAGGTCTACCAGGTACTCAGAGATCAATATACTGTGATCACTCATTCCCAAGGGGGCTTCCAACTTAACTTCACTTATATGCAACTCATTTTGGGTAAATATCATATCAATCATGGCTAGTTCATCTTCTCTTCTCATTCTTGTCGACCCCTTGATGAGTTGGCTTAGAATGTTTCATGTTGCCACATCCAGAAGCTTAGCTCTCCTATGTATCTAGTCCGCCCTGTGGGTCTCGGTTCTCCAATCTATCTTCCCGTGGTTGAATTCCCCCATTATTAGTAGTCCGGATCCGTTCCTGATATCGATAGAAGCAGCGTGTGTCTGTGTGAGTTATGCTGTGTGTGTGTCTATGTCTGAGAGTTATGCTGTGTGTGTTGATGTAAGTTATGCTGTGTCTGTGTCTGAATAAGTTAGGTTGTGTGTTTATATCTGTGAGTACGTTATGCTGTGCATCTATGTCTGCAAGTTGTGCTATGTGAATGTATTGTAACCTTGATGTGCTTGCAGGGTCGAGCTAGCTCATAGCTTTTTGAACACTCTTAGATTATTGTAATGACTCACAGAGTTCACCTGTTTTATTTGACTGTCCATCAATATTGGTGTCCCAGATCATCCGAATCTTCATTGTTGTCCGATCCTCTACACGGCTAGTTTCCAGCCTTGATATTGGGATTAAGTTAGATCTGGGATGGATTTTGAATTTGGGAGAAAGCAGATGGAAGGATGCCTGTGAGACATTGCATCTCTATGTGAGTCAGTTATGTTGTGTGTCTGTTTCTGTGAGTAAATTTTGCTGTATGTGTCTGGATTTGTTAGTCAGTTAGATGTGTCAATGTATTTTAGTAATTTATGATGTATCAATGTATTTGAGTAATTTATGATGTATCTGCTTCTGCGTGAGTTATGCTGCAAGCATGTTTTTGCTTAAGCTGTGCTATATGTCTATGTCTGAGTTAATTAGACTGTTTTGACAGTAAGTTAAGCTTACTTAGGTAAGTTAGTGATTAATCTACGCAAGTCATTTATTCTGTGCTTGTCTATGTCTGATAGTCAATCAACATATGAGCCTCTTACTATGTAAATCAGGGAATCTGTATTAATAAGTGAATAATTATGGTACTTTGTGAGTGAGTTAGTTCCTCTGCCTGTGTTTCTTGTTGTTTCTAAGACTTTGAGTCAGTATGTTCATCATTTGTTCTGTATAAGGATCACTTAAATTGAGAATCAGTGTTCTTTAATATAATTAAACTATACACAATAATGCTTAAACAATGTAGAACTCAGCATGTAGTAGAATAATTAATTAATTAATTATTTTAATGCTGAAATCGATGATATGAACCCTTAAATTACCAAGAAAATTTATCTTTTAATGAAGGACTATAAAATAATTTTGATATTGCCAGATAATAGTAAAAATAATATAATAGATACAAAATATTCATAGAACACTTCTGTTGGGTGCCATGAAGATCTACGATTAATTGTAACTATGTAGTAAAGAATGTAGAGGGTGCGGTATCTGTGCTAGGGTGCGGTACATGTGTGAGTGTGCAGCAGCTGTGTGTTGGTGCAGTACCTTTGCTAGGGTGCGGTACTTGTGCTAGGGGTACAGTACCTGTACGAAGGTGTGGTACCTGTGGGAGGGTGCAGTACGTGTGCTAGGGTGCAGTACGTGTGCTAGGGTGCAACACCTGTGTGAGGGTGCAGTACCTGTGTGAGGGTGCAGTACCTGTGTTAGGGTGCAGCACCTGTGTGAGAGTGATGTACGTGTGCTAGGGTGCAGTACGTGTGTTAGGGTGCAGTACGTGTGCTAGGGTGCAGTACGTGTGCTAGGGTGCGGTACCTGTGGGAGGGAGCGGTACCTGTGTGAGGGTGCAGCACCTGTGTGAGGGTGATGTACGTGTGCTAGGGTGCGGTACCTGTGTTAGGGTGCAGTACCTGCGCTAGGGTGCGGTACCTGTGTGAGGGTGCAGTACCTGCGCTAGGGTGCGGTACCTGCGCTAGGGTGCGGTACCTGTGTGAGGGTGATGTAGCAGCGGTCGGTGAGAGGAGTAATAACCAGGCGAGTAGTGTTGCCCAAGTACTCGTGGTCGTACTTCATCCGAGCGTCGCAAATGTCAACAAAGCAGTCGGCCTCTTGCTCGTCCCATCTGTGCGTGAAGGAAGAACTTGCTTTACAAAATAGAACAATTCGCAGTAAATGGAATGTGAAAATTAAGTAGAGAAGAGATGAGAGGAGAACGGGAAGGAGGGACTGACCTGTGCCGCAGCTGGGACTGACCTCTGCCGCAGCTGGGACTGACCTGTGCCGCAGCTGGGACTGTCCTCTGCCGGAGCTGGGACTGACCTGTGCCGCAGCTGGGACTGACCTGTGCCGCAGCTGGGACTGACCTGTGCCGCAGCTGGGACTGACCTGTGCCGCAGCTGGGACTGACCTGTGCCGCAGCTGGGACTGACCTGTGCCGCAGCTGGGACTGACCTGTGCCGCAGCTGGGACTGACCTGTGCCGCAGCTGGGACTGACCTGTGCCGCAGCTGGGACTAACCTGTGCCGCAGCTGGGACTAACTTGTGCCGCAGCTGGGACTGACCTGTGCCGCAGCTGGGGCTGACCTGTGCCGCAGCTGGGACTAACCTGTGCCGCAGCTGGGACTGACCTCTGCCGGAGCTGGGACTAACTTGTGCCGCAGCTGGGACTAACCTGTGCCGCAGCTGGGACTGACCTGTGCCTCAGCTGGGACTAACCTGTGCCGCAGCTGGGACTGACCTGTGCCGCAGCTGGGACTAACCTGTGCCGCAGCTGGGACTAACCTGTGCCGCAGCTGGGACTAACCTGTGCCGCAGCTGGGACTGACCTGTGCCGCAGCTGGGACTGACCTGTGCCGCAGCTGGGACTGACCTGTGCCGCAGCTGGGACTAACCTGTGCCGCAGCTGGGACTGACCTGTGCCGCAGCTGGGACTAACCTGTGCCGCAGCTGGGACTAACCTGTGCCGCAGCTGGGACTAACTTGTGCCGCAGCTGGGACTAACCTGTGCCGCAGCTGGGACTGACCTGTGCCTCAGCTGGGACTAACCTGTGCCGCAGCTGGGACTGTTCTCTGCCGCAGCTGGGACTGACCTGTGATTCAGCTGGGACTGACCTGTGCCGCAGCTGGGACTGCCAGGCAAACTCGGCCGCACTCTCCACGCGGCCACTGATGAGTCGGCCCACCACGTCGCGCGCATGCACATCTATGGTGCAAATGGTCATGATCTTCTGCCGTTGCTGCCTCGTTAGTTCCCCCAGCAGCAGGGAGATGAGGGCGTTCAGCTGCTGTACCTGTAACCACCTATGTTTTCTGATATACAAATTAAGAATACAAAATGTTTTCAATTAGCGTAAACTGAAACCCAGTGCGAGTGACCTTGCTCACTAAGAACACATTACGTAACCTTCAAGTCTAAAACACATTTGTTGTTTGTAATTCCCCAAACACACTTTTGCACAAATGCAATCAAATGTAGACTTCTCCCCAAAGTTAAGTATATAAGGACTCTAGTGCAAATGATAACGTCAACTTTACCCTTCATTTGAACAATCACTTACTTTCCCAAAATGTGAACAAAAGCACATTGTAGCACAAAAATTAGTAGCATTAGAACTAATGAGAACAGATGTGGACGTTAGCACAAATAGTTCAACAAAAAGCATAAATAGCATAAATATGAGCAAACGAAAGCTCTCACACAAATAATGACTTTATGTCAAATATGAACCAACTGTTCAGGTCACAAAGTTATTACACCAAGAGTGACAAATGAAGACGTTATCAACAATGTGAAGACATGAACACTTCTACTAAAAGCCAAGGAATAAGGGCATCACCTGCTTCCTGTAGTAGTCCCTGAGGGCGTTCTCGTACCCCTCCTCCAGGCGGGAGAACGCCGCGCTCACCTCCACTGTCCAGTATATCTGAGTCCCCGTCAGTGCCACCTTAAAGATGAGACAAATATTATTGATAGAACAGATCGGGATGAGATGAGAGGACGAGGTAATGCAGGATATCAGTGTTATATTCGTAATGTAAAGACTATTGTGGTTCAGTTGCCAGGCCCATTACATGGTTACCTAAGCCTCCCTCCATCACCCAACAACCCCTCCTACTAATTCACCGTCGCATTTGGACGAATACTTTATCCAGGGACAAAAATCTTTGTAAAAATTCCAAAAAGGTTCCGGGTTCGATCCCTGGCGGAGGCGGAAACAAATCTGCAGAGTTTCTTTCACCCTGATGCACTGTTCACCGAGCAGTAAATAGGTACCTAGGAGTTAGAAAACTGCTACGAGCTGCTTCCTCGAGGTGTGTAACGAAAAGGAGGCTTGGTCGAGGACCGGGCCGCAGGGACGCTAAGCCCTGATATCATTTTAAGATAACAACAAAATACCGTACGTTTCTGGTTAGTCAAAATTACTACACATTTGATGCTTGTTAATTCGGTAAGACATCGTTCATGATAAAGATAAGGCAGTATTACCGAGTGATGCCAGTGTGTTTTGTGCTGGGAGTGAGAGCTACAGTGTATCACTACCTGAGAGTGCACGAACTGTGAGTGAAGCAGACCAGAGTGGCCAGAGTGGTGACCAGTGTGACCACTCACTAGTGAGGTAACTGACGAGTGCACAGCATGCCGCCAGGGGCAGCCTCGCCCACACCACCACCTGTCATGTGCAACATGAGCCGCCATTCTGTGATAACACCACAAGAAGTCTCACTACAGGTTGATGACCGTGGGCCAGCAGGCGCGCGTCACTACAGGTTGATGACCGTGGGCCAGCAGGCGCGCGTCACTACAGGTTGATGACCGTGGGCCAGCAGGCGCGCGTTACTACAGGTTGATGACCGTGGGCCAGCAGGTCGCGTCACCACACACAACATCTTCCATACATTTACAGTCAGAAGAGAGTGATGGAGGATATAATGAATGTTCTCGCATTTACCAGAGTAGTGAGGCTGGCCACCAAGCAACACATGGCTCTAATGTGGCTACTTGTCCCTCATGGGGCCCTCATCTGTGACCCTCCACCTGCTGTGACCCTCTACCTCCACCTGCTGTGACCCTCCACCTCCACCTGCTGTGACCCTCCACCTCCACCTGCTGTGACCCTCCACCTCCACCTGCTGTGACCCTCCACCTCCACCTGCTGTGACCCTCCACCTCCACCTGCTGTGACCCTCCACCTCCACCTGCTGTGACCCTCCACCTCCACCTGCTGTGACTCTCCACCTCCAACTGCTGTGACCCTCCCCCTCCACCTGCTGTGACCCTCCCCCTCCACCTGCTGTGACCCTCCCCCTCCACCTGCTGTGACCCTCCCCCTCCACCTGCTGTGACCCTCCCCCTCCACCTGCTGTGACCCTCCACCTCCACCTGCTGTGACCCTCCACCTGCTGTGACCCTCCACCTGCTGTGACCCTTTACCTCCACCTGCTGTGACCCTCCCCCTCCACTTGCTGTGACCCTCCACCTGCTGTGACCCTCCACCTCCACCTGCTGTGACCCTCCACCTGCTGTGACCCTCCACCTGCTGTGACCCTCCCCTTCCACCTGCTGTGACCCTCCACCTGCTGTGACCCTCCACCTCCACCTGCTGTGACACTCCACCTCCACCTGCTGTGACCCTCCCCCTCCACCTGCTGTGACCCTCCCCCTCCACCTGCTGTGACCCTCCCCCTCCACCTGCTGTGACCCTCCCCCTCCACCTGCTGTGACCCTCCCCCTCCACCTGCTGTGACCCTCCCCCTCCACCTGCTGTGACCTTCCCCCTCCACCTGCTGTGACCCTCCCCCTCCACCTGCTGTGACCCTCCACCTGCTGTGACCCTCCACCTGCTGTGACACTCCACCTGCTGTGACACTCCACCTCCACCTGCTGTGACACTCCACCTGCTGTGACCCTCCACCTCCACCTGCTGTGACACTCCACCTCCACCTGCTGTGACCCTCCCCCTCCACCTGTTGTGACCCTCCACCTCCACCTGCTGTGACCCTCCACCTCCACCTGCTGTGACCCTCCACCTGCTGTGACCCTCCACCTCCACCTGCTGTGACCCTCCACCTCCACCTGCTGTGACACTCCACCTCCACCTGCTGTGACCCTCCACCTGCTGTGACCCTCCACCTGCTGTGACCCTTCACCTACTGTGACCCTCCCCCTCCACCTGCTGTGACCCTCCATCTCCACCTACTGTGACCCTCCCCCTCCACCTGCTGTGACCCTCCCCCTCCACCTGCTGTGACCCTCCACCTCCACCTGCTGTGACCCTCCACCTCCACCTGCTGTGACCCTCCACCTACTGTGACCCTCCACCTCCACCTGCTGTGACCCTCCCCCTCCACCTACTGTGACCCTCCACCTGCTGTGAACCTCCACCTCCACCTGCTGTGACCCTCCACCTGCTGTGAACCTCCACCTGCTGTGACCCTCCACCTCCACCTGCTGTGACCCTCCACCTACTGTGACCCTACACCTCCACCTGCTGTGACCCTCCACCTCCACCTGCTGTGACACTCCACCTCCACCTGCTGTGACCCTCCACCTCCACCTGCTGTGACCCTCCACCTCCACCTGCTGTGACCCTCCACCTCCACCTGCTGTGACCCTCCACCTCCACCTGCTGTGACCCTCCACCTCCACCTGCTGTGACCCTCCACCTCCACCTGCTGTGACCCTCCACCTGCTGTGACCCTCCACCTGCTGTGACCCTCCACCTCCACCTGCTGTGACCCTCCACCTGCTGTGACCCTCCCCCTCCACCTGCTGTGACCCTCCACCTCCACCTGCTGTGACCCTCCACCTACTGTGACCCTGCACCTCCACCTGCTGTGACCCTCCACCTCCACCTGCTGTGACCCTCCACCTCCGCCTGCTGTGACCCTCCACCTCCACCTGCTGTGACACTCCACATCCACCTGCTGTGACCCTCCACCTGCTGTGACCCTCCACCTCCACCTGCTGTGACCCTCAACCTACTGTGACCCTACACCTCCACCTGCTGTGACCCTCCACCTACTGTGACCCTACACCTCCACCTGCTGTGACCCTCCACCTCCACCTGCTGTGACACTCCACCTCCACCTGCTGTGACACTCCACCTCCACCTGCTGTGACCCTCCACCTACTGTGACCCTACACCTCCACCTGCTGTGACCCTCCACCTACTGTGACCCTACACCTCAACCTGCTGTGACCCTCCACCTCCACCTGCTGTGACACTCCACCTCCACCTGCTGTGACACTCCAGCTCCACCTGCTGTGACCCTCCACCTACTGTGACCCTTCACCTCCACCTACTGTGACCCTCCACCTCCACCTGCTGTGACCCTCCACCTACTGTGACCCTCCACCTCCACCTACTGTGACCCTCCACCTACTGTGACCCTCCACCTCCACCTACTGTGACCCTCCACCTCCACCTGCTGTGACCCTCCACCTCCACCTACTGTGACCCTCCACCTCCACCTGCTGTGACCCTCCACCTACTGTGACCCTCCACCTACTGTGACCCACCTGGGCAGGGTAGTCTCCCACCCACTGGTCTCTGGGGCGGTCCTCGTATGCAGCGACAGCGTCTGTCATCCTGGACCTCACCGTAGCACGCATTACTTCCAGCACGCTCATCAACCACTTCTCCACCTGGCAGGGAGAGAGAGGCTACATCTGTGACACAGTGACACAGTGAGAGAGAGAGAGAGAGAGAGAGAGAGAGAGAGAGAGAGAGAGAGAGAGAGAGAGAGAGAGAGAGAGAGAGAGAGAGAGAGAGGGGAGGGAGGGGGGGGGGGCTGTATCTGAGACACACAGATGTAGAGTTATTAAAAGTAGGACAGACGGGTATTTAAAAGGGCACGCGGGACTTGAGCAGTACACACTGTTCCCGAAAAGTATTTACAGTTCCAAGGCAGTACTTATGAGTACCGGGTAGTACCCACATCTTTAGAGCATTTCTCATGCTTTCAGGGCAAGATTCACTGCTCCCCGGTAACACTAACAGGCCAAGGGCAGTACTCACTGCTCCAAAACAGTACTGATCAGTCCAGAACAGTACTGATCAGTCCAGAACAGTACTGATCAGTCCAGAAGAGTGCAGACGGGTCGAGAACAGTTTGGACAGGTCCGGGACAGTACAGTCAAATCGAGAACAGTACTAAAAAATCCAGAACTGTACTGACGGGTCCAGAACAGTACTGATGGGTCCAGAATAGTACTGACGGGTCCAGAACAGTACTGACGGGTCCAGAACAGTACTGATGGGTCCAGAACAGTACTGATGGGTCTAGAACAGTACAGACGGGTCCAAAAAAGTACAGACGGGTCCAGAAGAGTACTGACGATTCCAGAACAGTTCTGACGGGGCCAGAACAGTAAAGACGGCTCCAGAACAGGAATCATGGATCCAGAACAAAACAGACGAGTCCAAAGCAGTACTGACGGGTGAGTAAAAGTACAGACAGGTAGATAATAGTACTGACGGATTCACAAAAGTAAAAACAGTTTCAGAACAGTAAAGACAGATCCAGAACAGTACTGACGGGTCCAGAACAGTACAGACGGGTCCAGAACAGTACAGACGAGTCCAGAACAGTACAGACGGGTCCAGAACAGTACAGACGGGTCAAGAAGAGTAATGACGAGTCCAGAACAGTACTGACGGTTCTAGAACGGAACAGACGGGGGGTGCAGAGCAGTGCAGACTTATTCAAAACAATAACCACGGGTCCAGAACAGTACTGACTAGTCCAGAACAGTACTGACTGGTCCAGAACAGTACTGACTGGTCCAGAACAGTACTAACTGGTCCAGAACAGTACTGACTGGTCCAGAACAGTACTGACTGGTCCAGAACAGTACTGACTGGTCCAGAACAGTACTGACTGGACCAGAACAGTACTCACTGGTCCAAAACAGTACTGACTGGTCAAGAACAGTACTGACTGGTCCAAAACAGTACTGACTGGTCCAGAACAGTACTGACTGGTCCAGAACAGTACTGACGGATCCAGAACAGCACTGACTGATCCAGAACAGCACTGACTGGCCCAGAACAGTACTGACTGGTCCAGAACAGTACTGATGGGTCCAGAACAGTATTGACTGGTCCAGAACAGTACTGACTGGTCCAGAACAGTACTGACTGGTCCAGAACAGTACTGACTGGTCCAGAACAGTACTAACTGGTCCAGAACAGTACTGACGGGTCCAGAACAGTACTGACGGATCCAGAACAATACTGACTGGTCCAGAACAGTACTGACTGGTCCAGAACAGTACTGATGGGTCCAGAACAGTATTGACTGGTCCAGAACAGTACTGGCTGGTCCAGAACAGTACTGACGGGTCCAGAACAGTATTGACTGGTCCAGAACAGTACTGACTGGTCCAGAACAGTACTGACGGGTCCAGAACAGTACTGACGGGTCCAGAACCGTACTGACGGGTCCAGAACAGTACTGACTGGTCCAGAACAGTACTGACTGGTCCAGAACAGTACTGATAGGTCCAGAACAGTATTGACTGGTCCAGAACAGTACTGACTGGTCCAGAACAGTACTGACGGGTCCAGAACAGTATTGACTGGTCCAGAACAGTACTGAATGGTCCAGAACAGTACTGATGGGTCCAGAACAGTACTGACGGGTCCAGAACAGTACTGACGGGTCCAGAACAGTACTGACTGGTCCAGAACAGTACTGACTGGTCCAGAACAGTACTGACTGGTCCAGAACAGTACTGACTGGTCCAGACCAGTACTGACTGGTCCAGAACAGTACTGACTGGTCCAGACCAGTACTGACTGGTCCAGAACAGGACTGACTGGTCCAGACCAGTACTGACTGGTCCAGAACAGTACTGACTGGTCCAGAACAGTACTGACTGGTCCAGAACAGTACTGACTGGTCCAGAACAGTACTGACTGGTCCAGAACAGTACTGACTGGTCCAGAACAGTACCGACTGGTCCAGAACAGTACCGACTGGTCCAGAACAGTACCGACTGGTCCAGAACAGCACCGACGGGTCCAGAACAGTACCGACGGGTCCAGAACAGTACCGACGGGTCCAGAACAGTACAGACGGGTCCAGAACAGTACTGACTGGTCCAGAACAGTACTGACTGGTCCAGAACAGTACTGACTGGTCCAGAACAGTACTGGCGGGTCCAAAACAGTACTGACGAGTCCAGAACAGTACTGACTGGTCCAGAACAGTACTGACTGGTCCAGAACAGTACTGACTGGTCCAGAACAGTACTGACTGGTCCAGAACAGTACTGGCTGGTCCAGAACAGTACTGACTGGTCCAGAACAGTACTGACTGGTCCAGAACAGTACCGACGGGTCCAGAACAGTACTGACGGGTCCAGAACAGTACAGACGGGTTCAGAACAGTACTGACTGGTCCAGAACAGTACTGACGGGTCCAGAACAGTACAGACGGGTTCAGAACAGTACTGACTGGTCCAGAACAGTACTGGCGGGTCCAAAACAGTACTGACGAGTCCAGAACAGTACTGACGCGTTCAGAACAGTACTGACTGGCCAGAACAGTACTGACTGGTCCAGAACAGTACTGACTGGTCCAGAACAGTACTGACTGGTTCAGAACAGTACTGACTGGTCCAGAACAGTGCTGACTGGTCCAGAACAGTGCTGACTGGTCCAGAACAGTACTGACTGGTCCAGAACAGTACTGACTGGTCCAGAACAGTACTGACTGGTCCAGAACAGTACTGATGGGTCCAGAACAATACTGACTGGTCCAGAACAGTACTGACTGGTCCAGAACAGTACTGACTGGTCCAGAACAGTACTGACTGGTCCAGAACAGTACTGACTGGTCCAGAACAGTACTGACGGGTTCAGAACAGTACTGACTGGCCAGAACAGTACTGACTGGTCCAGAACAGTACTGACTGGTCCAGAACAGTACTGACTGGTTCAGAACAGTACTGACTGGTCCAGAACAGTACTGACTGGTCCAGAACAGTACTGACTGGTCCAGAACAGTACTGACTGGTCCAGAACAGTACTGACTGGTCCAGAACAGTACTGATGGGTCCAGAACAATACTGACTGGTCCAGAACAGTACTGATCGGTCCAGAACAATACTGACTGGTCCAGAACAGTACTGACTGGTCCAGAACAGTACTGACTGGTCCAGAACAGTACTGACTGGTCCAGAACAGTACTGATGGGTCCAGAACAATACTGACTGGTCCAGAACAGTACTGACTGGTCCAGAACAGTACTGACTGGTCCAGAACAGTACTGATGGGTCCAGAACAATACTGACTGGTCCAGAACAGTACAAACGGGGCCAAAACAGTGCAGACGGGTCCAGGACATTACTGATGATTTCAGGACAGTACAAACTGATCCAGTGCAGTACTCACTGCTCTAGAGCAATACTCTTAAGTCAAGAACAGTTTTCACTGATCCAGAGCAATAGGGACGGGTCCAGCGCAGTGCTCTCGGGTCCAGAGTCAATATTCACGGGTCCAGAGCAGTACTCACGGGTCCAGAGCAGTACTCACGGGTCCAGAGCAGTACTCACGGGTCCAGAGCAGTACTCACGGGTCCAGAGCAGTACTCACGGGTCCAGAGCAGTACTCACGGTCCGGAGCAGTACTCACGGGTCCAAAGCAGTACTCACAGGTCCTGAACAGTACTCACGGGTCCAGAGCAGTTCTCACGGGTCCGGAGCAGTACTCACCGGTCCAGAGCAGTACTCACGGTTCCAGAGCAGTACTCACGGTCCGGAGCAGTACTCACGGGTCCAAAGCAGTACTCACGGGTCCAGAACAGTACTCACGGGTCCAGGGCAGTTCTCACGGGTCCGGAGCAGTACTCACCGGTCCAGAGCAGTACTCACGGTTCCAGAGCAGTACTCACGGGTTCAGAGCAGTACTCACGGTTCCAGAGCAGTACTCACCGGTCCAGAGCAGTACTCACGGGTGCGGAGCAGTACTCACGGGTCCAGAGCAGTACTCACGGGTCCACAGCAGTACTCACGGGTCCACAGCAGTACTCACGGGTCCACAGCAGTGCTCACGGGTCCACAGCAGTACTCACGGGTCCACAGCAGTACTCACGGGTCCACAGCAGTACTCACGGGTCCACAGCAGTACTCACGGGTCCGGAGCATTTGGTGATGCTGGAGAACTGGACGTATTCACCATCTTTGGCTGTCATGCCCTCAGCGGTGGAGGCGTCGGTCGATGTCTCCTCAACAAACTTGAGAGATGCGATGCTGTCGAACAGTTTGGTGAGGTGCCTGTCGAGGAACGAGAGTGCTCAGTGTTACCCTGGTGCTCAGTATGTGTGTAGTCTTGTGTATAGTGTTACCCTGATACTCAGTATGTGTGTAGTCTTGTGTATAGTGTTACCCTGATGCTCAGTATGTGTGTAGTCTTGTGTATAGTGTTACCCTGATGCTCACTATGTGTGTAGTCTTGTGTACAGTGTTACGCTGATGCTCAGTATAAATGTACAGTGTTACCCTCCTGGCTTGGTATATGTATGTTTCCTTGCAACCCGTCCTCAGGATACAAAGTAGTTATGACGACAAATCACTAAAAGAATAGTCGAGGGAAGCTCAGTCCTTTACCCCTAAAATCCTTGGAAGTGCAAAATGGCTTCGCAACATTTATTGTTGTAGTAGTTGGGGGGTTAGATTATGAATAAGTAGGCGCTTTGTAATGAAGTCTCTCATTTGTCAAAAAGCCCACAGATCAGTTTATGTAATTGACACAGCTATTGAAAGGAATATAGTTTAGAGCACTGAATATAAATGAATATATAAGATTAATGAGAAAAAGAGATGGCTCTACTTTTGTGATTAAGAGTTTATTGATATTTTTATGTAAACGATAAAACATATGATAATTTTATGTATTTACGGCTCTTGAGGCAAATGACAGACGTGAGTACGACAGTACTCACGTAACGTCTGCGTCAGACATCACTGAAACACAATGACACAGAGAAACGGAGAAACAGACACACGGAGAAACAGTGTTCTCTATGGGGGGGGGGTTCACATCGCACTCTTTGCTAAGTTACTCCACAACCCGTCCTTGACTCAAATCCATTACATCCAGCGGTTGACCCCACAGACGCATTCATAAATTTTTACATGCTGTTCATTCAAAACAGGAATGTTCTCAAAAATAAATTAATGTTTTAATGTATTAGCATATTGTGCATATATAGGCATAGGTTAGGTTAGGTAAGGTGTTTAGGTTCTGTTGGCGATTATTAGTATTTATAATATGTGGGTGAAGCATTTATAGCGTTATGTTTCGAACAAAATTCGTCAGTGTTCCAGGAATGTTCGAACGTCAACAGTTGTGAGTCGTGTGTAAACCATTTTTCATTCATAAACAAGGGGTTTGGCCGGTGCATGGAATCACTTTTGGGTCTTTGTTTAGAGAAATGGCTGCACAACTAATGACATCCAAACACTTCCGGAGCAAGTGCTTCGCTCACATCATCTGTTTGAACCACAATTCAATAAATGCTTCACCCACGTACTTCAAATACAAATAATCGCTAACAGAACCTAAACACCTAACCTAACCTAACCTACACCTAACTATACATAGACTTTTATGCATAAGAATATTAATTTATATATGAAACAAACCAATTTTTATTACACAGTATGTTAAAATTGCTGCATCATCGCCCACAGCATCATCATCCATAGCGTCACGCTCCTCTACCCACGTCCGGCGAGGTGACGCACCCCAAGCCGAACGACGTCGCTTAGAAATAGGAGGTTGATCGTCGGAACTGTCACCCCCTGCAAGCGGTGCCCCAGAAGAACCATCGACAGGCGGCCCCACAGCCGGGGCAGCACGACCACGCAGAACGGCAGCCTCAACGACGCAGGGCAAAAAGCCACCACCATCCAAGGAGACCGGATTCGGTGAAGGAAGAGACACAGCAGGCGGAAGGGTAGACTCCAGCACACGTGAGGTATCCAGCGAGGACGATGAAACCGGCAGAAGAGAAGAGGCACGTGGTAACGAGGAAACTACCAGAGGTGACGAGGCAGAGGGCGGGGGGGAAGTCACACACACCACCACCACCACCACGACAGCCCCGGGAAGCACATGTCTGCAGGAGAAGCAGGCACCACCCCTACAACACCATCGAACGTCCCCACGGAAGCAACCGGTTGTGGATGCACCTCTGCAACCACCGAACGTCGAAGGTCCGAAGCAGGTGCCCCTAGGTCCCCCGAGCTCACCAGTGGGGCAGACAGATCAGGTCCAGATGGAGCGACAGCCGGAACCACTGCTGGAACCACACCAGGCGAGGATCCGCCGGGGAATCTCCATGCACAGACAAGCGGGGAAAATCATCCTTCAGGAAAACTGAAGGGGCCTCAGCACGAGGAGCGTCGCAACCAGCCGCTACGTGGCCCTCAGCACCACACCGAAAACACGTGCGAGTTTGACCTTAATAAACGATCCGCATAGAGAGCCCACGAAACGAAACCCTGGATGGAATAGGGCTCGTGATCCGCATGATGAGCGTGCGTGTACCCAGCCGGACCCCCTTCAGCCGGCCTGCACTCAAAATGTTGAACCGGTGCTTCATCACTGCACCAAACTGCATAAACAATGACATGAGTTCCGCCTCGGGGAAGGTCACCGGCACGCCGTGAACACTCACAAACGACAAGGGGCCCCCAGGGATCCGAGATCTCCACAGACACAGCCGAAGCCGGAAGAGGAAGCGAGTGTGCATCCCAGCGAGTCACAAACTCCTGGTAAACATGTGACGTGGCAAACGACACCGCAACACGGGTAGGCGATAACTTCTCGAGTTCCAGGATATCGGAGACGTGGAGACGGAGCACGTCCAGGAGAGCAATCTCCACAATGGGCCAGTCCACAGCAGCAGAAAAATCCAGCCATACAGTATCCACCCATCGAATACAGCTACCACCAGCCACCTCCATACTGCCAGGCAGAGCCCCGACTAGCGGGGGCTCCACACCTCCCACAGCAAACCACCACTCAGCAACGGCAAACGACGACTGACAGCTCAAGCCCGACGTCAGCACCCTCTGGTGGCGCAGCCAGGAATCAAAATCTCAAGTCGTGTGGCAGCACTGAAGTGTCACTGAATATCAGTAAGTATTCCTACACCCCCATTTTGCACGATATATAACCACTTCTGGTGAATTCCTATATAAACTACTGTTCATGTCTGGTGTTGTTGGAAGGTGGTAGTGCAATCTGCCACGAGTCGCTGATGTGAATGTGTTCTCATCACTGAAGATTACATAGGCCCAGTAATCGAGATCTTCAGTGACATAACTTCTGGCAAAACACAATCTTGCTGCTGTATGGTTCTCTAGAAGTTTACCTTTTTTGGGTGGAATCCGGTGATGGATTCAGCTTCATAAAGTCTGTTTCACACTCTGCGTCCAGATGGAGATAGTGTGTATGTTCACCAGAGGGGCCAGACGTGCTGCCTGATCTCTCCTGTTGGTGGTACACCTGACTAGCGAGCGGTCCTGTGAGGTTGTTAGCGAGGGCCTTGTGCCCGGCTTTCACTGAGTAATGTGGGGGCCCCTTTGCCCCCGTGCTGCGGTCTCAGTCAATTGGCCTGGACATTCAGAACTCTTCGGCGTGTTGTGCATTGACGTTGCTGACGCTTGTGGTGTTGAATTGATAACAAAACATCGGGTAGTGGCGAGGCTTTCTAATGAGGAGGCCTATTAGGTCTTTCTTTGCTGGTTTGATGGGCGCACGTTCCAGTTGCTGGGTGCTGATGGGTCTGTAATTGCCTCCGACCACTGTGGCATGTCTACTAACGTCAGTGTTCACAGCGTCCATATCGAGTTTCCGAAGGTGTTGTTACGCGGATAATTTCGCCAGATTGGGAAGGTAATGTCCGTGCAGATGATGTTATCTTCTCTGGTCGCTTGAAGGGCGTCTAAAATGAAATTCGCATGTTGGAAATGCGACTTCGGTCTGACATCCCATCGTCCGTCAGGCTTATGGGATATTATCTACGTAAGTATTATGTCTTGCCGCCGCAAACCTGCTTTGTTATGGGATGTTGGGGCTCCAGGATGCAGGGTGCAGTGCGGGCATATACCTGACCGTGTGCATCTTTTCCGCGTGGCGGACTTCCCTGCCCTAGTGGTTACCGAGGCTTCCGAGGGTGTGGTTGTTGGTATTTCTGTGGATGACGTGCCTCTGAGGGTGTCTGCTGTTGAGGATGCGGCTGATGGAGGTCACCCGCCGGTAGCTATGCCATCGCCGTCTGTGTGCTCTGCTGCTGGCTTGGGTGTGGAGCAGCGGGTCGACCTTCCCCAGCCTCCCACTTTTGCAGCTTGTTACGGCCCTCTCGGGACGCAACGGGGTTCTTACTCTGATGTAGTTAGAGGAAGATAAATATCCGGCCCCAAGCCAGTAGAGGCTATCAAGGGATGCGATCCGTGACGCAAGTAACTTAAAGGGAGTAGGGAAAGAAAGGTAAGAACTTAATATAATATAATCTTCACCATCACCATTTAAATATATAAAATAATAGAGTACACAAGGGGGAGGGGTATTAACACTTTACAAGGGGATCAACACTGTAGTCTTCTGCTGGAGACTATGGATCCTCGAAGCTAGGTGCTGAGTCCGCGGTGTTTTCTTCGTGGCCTCAAGACGTGTCCTCTGAGAACGCCGAGTCTACCCTGGCCACAGGTCAGCCACAACACAGGTCCACTGGGGGCACCGTCGTGGAGGCCGTCAACCACACGTCCAGCAGGTCTGCTGGCAGGTACGGAGCCACCAAGGCTGGCACGGCCACTCCACGAACGATAAAAGGGGTACGCCCTAGACAGGAGTCTCGTGTGATATCACCAATCACCCTCCTGTCCTCAATACCCCAGTGGATTATCGTCTCCAACCGTCGGTCCCGGGTAAATCCGTTCACTGCCACTCCACTGGCAGGCTTAACACACCACAGTGTTCTTCCGGGGGGACGACGTCACAACAGCTGCAGCAAACTTCACTGGATGGAGACTGGCTGCCTCGGGTAGACTGACTCCACCTTCAACACAGTGGTCCCAGGTCGGCTCTGTAAGCAGACACGTCATTAATAACCGGGACACTAATACACCACACTCACAGGCTCAGATACAAACGCCCGACATATCCACTCCATAGATGGCGCTGTCGTCGGAGCACCACCTCACCAGAGGTCAGGAGCGGCGGTGTTGAGCGCTGAACCAGACTGGAAACTGGTCCTCGAGGCCAGTACACGCTGTCCTCACTAGGTGTCGTCGTTCGTTTGGCGGGGGTTTCGGGAGCTGACCCACAGATGGCGTGTTTGTCACTGCTCCAGGCTCGGACGTTGAATCCGGGTTCGTAACACAGCTGTTGTGGGTGTTTCTACAGTGGACCCGGTGTCTGCGTGCTTGCCACTTCTACCTACCCCTTCTGTGGCTGTTATGGGCAGTTCTCCTGCGGCTCCAGTCCCTGCTCTCCTGCTCTTCTATCTGTCTTGCCGGTTGATGGTAGAGGGTCGCAGCCTCCTGTTGGGAGTGGACTACTTTCCTCTGTAGTCTCTGGTGCTGAGGTTCTGCGTGCCCGAGAGCGGCTTCCTTGTCACCGGCACACCTTCCTTGTCACTGAATATCAGTAAGTATTCCTACACCCCCATTTTGCACGATATATAACCACTTCTGGTGAATTCCTATATAAACTACTGTTCATGTCTGGTATTGTTGGAAGGTGGTAGTGCAATCTGCCACGAGTCGCTGGTGTGAATGTGTTCTCATCACTGAAGATTACATAGGCCCAGTAATCGAGATCTTCAGTGACATAACTTCTGGCAAAACACAATCTTGCTGCTGTATGGTTCTCTAGAAGTTTACCTTTTTTGGGTGGAATCCGGTGATGGATTCAGCTTCATAAAGTCTGTTTCACACTCTGCGTCCAGATGGAGATAGTGTGTATGTTCACCAGAGGGGCCAGACGTGCTGTCTGATCTCTCCTGTTGGTGGTACACCTGACTAGCGAGCGGTCCTGTGAGGTTGTTAGCGAGGGCCTTGTGCCCGGCTTTCACTGAGTAATGTGGGGGCCCCTTTGCCCCCGTGCTGCGGTCTCAGTCAATTGGCCTGGACATTCAGAACTCTTCGGCGTGTTGTGCATTGACGTTGCTGACGCTTGTGGTGTTGAATTGATAACAAAACATCGGGTAGTGGCGAGGCTTTCTAATGAGGAGGCCTATTAGGTCTTTCTTTGCTGGTTTGATGGGCGCTTGATGGGCGATTGTGTTTCTGGGGAGTTGAGTACAGTGGCGGTGAAAAGTTTGGATGACCTGTGGCCAGACCCTAAGCGCTCGAGGCTTTCTTTGACTACTTTGCCGCCAGAGGGTTCCGACTGGGCGTACGTGGGGAATTTTGCTAGTTACATGTCTTCGGACGACGAGATGCCTGGACCTGTTGGGGTGCCTGATGGTGTTATGGTGGATATGGCGGTGGTGGTGGAGGATGTACATATGGCAGATGCAGGTGTTGGTGTGGGGAACTCTGTGCGGGTTCCTGGGTGCCCCCCCCCTACTGCCCGGGCTCTGGTCTGGGAGGGGTACTGTCTGGGGTATCCTAAGGCGGATTTTCTGCAAAAATATATGTAGGCATTGTCTTGATTTTCTGTATTTATTGTGATGTGTTTCTCCATGTGTTTGTGCCATGTGTTAGGAGACTGAGTTTTGCCCTTATGTTTCTGTTCTTGTTTGCCATTTTTGTGTTCCCATGTACATGAACTGTGTTTTTCTGTACTAGTTTTGTAATGTGGTTGTTTGGTTAATGGCGATGTAGTTGTTGTGATATTTGTGTTTTGCAGTACTTCAGTGCCTTTTATTTTTGTATTTCTGTAGCATGCCGTTGGCATGTAAATTAAAAAAAATAAAAAAAAATTGCAGTTCATTATCGATAACAACTGCATTCATAAAGGGGCTTGGCGGTTACATTCAAGAAATTGTTGGTTTTCTACTAGAGAGAAAAGTTTCTACTAGTTTTTTCATAACCCACCAAACCAATGTTTGTCGTTCAAGTTCCCGGATTCTTCTTACCGCCTGCACCACAGTCTAACAGGTGGCTTTGTGATTCCAAGTTCTCTAGCGAGGGCGGCGATTTACATGCCCCTCCCCCCCCCCCTTACTCTCATAGCAGCTATTGCCTCTCGTTGACACTGCTTTTACTCCCTGGAGTTCAACCTTGGTAAAGAGTCAGCACTCTGGAGTTGACTCGTGGATTAGTCTTGCGAGAGTGAAGGGTCCACATTCTTTCACCCAAACGACGACACATTCTGCTATAGTTTGGTGGTTAAATCATTGTAGGAAACTAGTATGTTTTAATAAGCACTAGTTTTTCGAACAACATATATATCAAGAAGTCAGTGTTGAGTATATGATATGTCACATGTCTGCCATATGTGTAATGCAAGTCTGTCACTGTGTGTGTGTGTTTGTGTATTTCACCTAGTTGTATTCACCTAGTTGTGCTTGTGGGGGTTGAGCTCTGCTCTTTCGGCCTGCCTCTCAATTGTCAATTAACTGTTTCTACCTACTACTACTATTTTTTTTCTTCACATCACACACGCACACACACACACACACACACACACACACACACACACACACACACACACACACACACACACACACACACACACACACACACACACACACACACCAGGAAACAGCCCGTGACAGCTGACTAACTCCCAGGTACCTATTTACTGCTAGGTAACAGGGGCATAGGATGAAAGAAACTCTGCTCAGTGTTTCTCGCCGGTGCCCGGGATCGAATACGGTACCACAGGATCACATGTACAGCTTGCTGTCCACTCGGCCGGCCGGCCCCCTGTGTGTGTGTGAGTGTGTGTGTGTGTGGGTGTGTTTGTGTGTGTGTGTGTGTGTATGTGTGTGTGTGTGTGTTTGTGTGTGACT